TAAAAATAAAAAAGGAAATGTTAAAACAACCTGCCATAGAATATACTGGATATCATTCTGCAAAAAGAGTTATGTTTCTCAAATGGTAAAATAAAAATGTTGAGATTCGGCACGAGTATGGAATACAAATACTGTTAACGCGGGCATTTCATCACTAATGTCCATTTTAGTCAAATAGCTACGAACCAACAACACTAGGGTTATATAAACATTTAGGCAGGAATGCAAAGGCAGCCCGGCAAAAGTTTATCGTAAATTATTCGTTTTATATGTTGACAGGACATCTGTCATGCTAACTCTTCCACACATGTTAGCAAATATGCTACAATAATGCTCGCGTTTTACTTCTGTCGTTTCCTAATGTTTACATACTAAAATCGCCGTTGTGATTCATATAACTATGCCATCCTCCAAACTAACGCAAAGCAATACTTGTCTGTCCCTTATAAAGTAGTTTAAACCTAAAGGAACGACCGTTAGCTCACACTGAATTCGTTGCCGCGGTAACTTCACAATCACAATCGGAACGTAACAATGTTGCAACCGACTACAACCCTGAGTCCAACTGCCTTTAATAAATAAAACACCGCTTCCGATGCATTTTCACTAGTTTATTTCATTCTGCATCCCACATAGACTTCCACCACAATTCCATCGCCGCACTCATCGGCAAAGTGGCGTCTGAGGAAATAAGGCACACTGGGTAAAAACACATTTATATACTAACCTCCGAAAATTTTCCAACAATCCCTTCGTTCGACCAACATGCACCAGGGCAGGAAACGCTGTGCAGAAAATACAACCCCAGAACCTGAATATCGGAAGAGTTCCTCAAACTGATCCTTGATACTCATATGTGATTGGCTGAAGAAGACTACTGCCGCGCTCCCATTGGCTGAACGCCCGTCAATGCGAATTTGTGCTGTCAGAAATTCACGTTCAGGGGCACCTTAGGGACGCCATTCGGGTCTGTTGGGTGTATTGTTCAAGCGTGAATAAGCAAATCTAGCACAGCAATGTCTGCCCGTGACAAATTCACTTGGCGGATAGATGCGGCGGATGTTGTGTGCATTTCTTCGAACGTCAAAACGTGACCAGTGGTTTTATTGTTTTTATAACAGCACATTTTTACAGTGTGTCACAGAAGGCTTGGTAGCCATTTTGAATTGCATTATGTCATGGCTGGAGTGAGGATGCATGGGCAATGCAGTGCAGTAGAAAGGCTTAGCCTTTACTGTTGGAATAGACTTCTATGCTCGTATGAAGGAGATTTTATACCAGAAGGATATCAATTCTTATACCATGCTTATTTTTTATGTCGTTTTAATGTGTGATGTTTATGCAAAAAATGTAAGCAATAAAAAAAAAATCACGAAAATGTAATGTGGAATATAAAAAATACAAT